AGACCTCATGTGTCAAAGTGTCCATCACCAACCCACAGGGTGACAGACAGCTGAAGAAAACTGAAGTTTTAGTTTTGCCAAACTAAAACTTAACCCTAACCCCGAACTAAAACTTTAGTTTGGCAAGTTGATGACCACTTAAAACTCTCTAACCCCCACCACTCAGCTACCCTCAAAAGTGGCATTGCCTGCCAAGCTCCCAGTTGGTTTGGAGATTTCTTGAAAAGAAAAGGTTGACCTCAAAGATCACCCTTAACGCTCAGATCCTATTTCTCTTTCTGACATACAGACTCTGACTCAAGGGTCCGTCTTCAGACCGTTGGACTCACAAGAGTTGGTACCAGAAATCCTGGCAGCATAAACTCAAACCGGTTTGGCAGTAAACTCAAAGCTGCTCAAAATAGATTACCATTTCCGTAACATTTTTCTGTACATTCAAGGCTAACTACAGAGCTTTTTCTATATGAAAAGTATTTATTTTATTGTCCTCCAAAGCAGATGTAGTTCACTTTTCCACCATGTCTAACTTCCTGTCTCATTCATTCCATTCTTGTGAAATAACTGTGTAGTTCTGACCAAGGCAGACCACAGGTCTCTAGCGGTCTGCAAGACCCCACTGACATTAATGCGTTCTGATTTCTGCGTACATTTTCCAGCTTGATTTTCTGTTGGATCGGATGCCAAATCAGATCCAGTGTGTGTTGGTCTTCACAATTTTTTATTTCTAATCCCTGCATTAAGTTGTCAAATGCTTTCCTTCCATTTTTATGCAAATAACTCTGCAATTTACAGGCATTTGAATCTCAACAGTCCACTTTTGATGCAGTAAATATTTGTCTCAAACAATTGAAACCAAATTTAAATGATGAACAATTTGATACAAAAACATTTTTCAAATTCATCTATCCCTTCTGAGAATGTTCCCTTAATATGAACTCTCCAAATTAAAACTGTCAAGCTATGAGCCAAGTAGGACACAATTATACATATTATACATAATACACTATATATATATATATATATATATATATACATATACACTTTAATCTGAAATCCACATCAAACATTGTGTGCAGAGTAACAAAATCAACAAATACAACATAAAATAATCAGGTTACAGTTGAGACCAGCAGTTTACATACACCAAATTAAGATTTTTTTTCTTACTGTTAATTTCCTTACTTAACTTTCAAGTTTAATCAGAGTGAATTTTAATTACAAAAATATTTTTGATTTGCTGAATACCGCAGTCATGACAGAAACAATGTTAGAGTTAGCAATATCTATCAGCTATCAGTTGTTAGTTAGCAATATCTTTAAAAACAGTACAAATCTCATCAGTATTTGGTAGATTTGCTTTTACATTTTGTCTTTCCTTCCAAAAGATTCTCACAATACTTCATATTTTGAAGATGTTTATAAATAAGCCTGTGACATATTGTGTCATTATTGTCGCATTTGTAGAAATAATTTTGGTAATGCTAACTGAACTAAAGCAAGAGAACTTTGGTCTGATTTGACTTCATGAAGTAAGAATAAAATGTGTTAATGTCATTTAATTTGGTGTTTGTAATCCTCTGGTTCCTGATATTAAAACACAGCAAGATATTCATCAAAACATTTTTTCCTAATTTCTACATTCTTCTTATTGGACATTCTTCAAAGGATCTCAACACACATTTATACAGTAATTTGCAAAAAACAAACAAACAAACAAACAAAAAAAAACATTTCTACTCCTTATGAATCACATTTTGCCATTTTTTATCTACAGAGCTTGATGTATTATTACATTATAATTTTACTTCATAGACCAACACAAGTAACCTTTTATACTCTGTGTTTGTTCATCACATATAAACCCAATAAAGGTTTGTTGCTGTAAGGTGAGTTTAGAGGAGTTAAAACTTCTGCAAGAGAGCCATTATGTCTTCCCGCAACACAGATACAGACTGCTCTCTACTTTAAGCAAACAAGTGAAAATGTTTCTTGTCACAGACATATATATATATATATATATATATATATATATATATATATATATATATATATATATATATATATATATATATATATATATACAAATAAACATTACATCTTCCTTTCTTTGAAGGATTACACAGTCAATCTTAGTCAGGCGATAAGAGTCATCTGAATCAGAGGTCTGCAACCTTTACAAGCTAAAGAGACATTTTTACCCAGCTAAGTAAAACTTCAATGTTAACAAATGTTAAACTACCTTCTCACAAAAAAAGAAAACTTACAATTTCTGATAAATATCTATTGCAGAAAATTTGTTGTCATGCTTAAAGATCCGTTTTACTTCTATTTTTAGGTGTTAAGATAAAGAAAAACATAAACTCTTACATTTTCTTCGACAAAAACAATATTTTATATTTTTGGAGCAAAAAAAAAAAAACAAGACAAAGAACTTGTAAACAAGATTTTAAGACTTGATTTCCAAACCCTAAAATCTATATCTAAGCCTCAAAAAGTATTTTTGGTCTCTAGAGTTAATATCTTAGTGCACTTGAATAAATAAAAAGCTCCTAGTTCCACAGGGGGCTGCACAGTGGTGCAGTCGGTAGCACTGTCGCCTTGTAGCAAGAAGGTCCTGGGTTTGATTCCCGGCCCAGGGTCTTTCTGCACAGAGTTTGCATGTTCTCCCTGTGCAACGTGGGTTCTCTCCGGTTACTCCACAGTCTAAAAACATGACTGTCAGGTTAATTGGTCTTTCTAAATTCCTCTGACAGGCTGGTGACCTGTCCAGGGTGACCCCGCCTCTCGTCCAGAACGTAGCTGGAGATACCAGCACCTCCCGACCCTAATAGGAACAAGGGTGAACAGAAAATGGATGGATAGTTCCACAGGACTTTAAAAAGCTCCTATATCTTGTTGAAAAGTAACTTGTTAGTTAGTTTTGTCTTATTTCAAGTGCACTAGATATTTGCACTAGAAACTAGAAGAAAAGACATATATATATATATATATATATATATATAATATATATATATATATATATATATATATATATATATATATATATATGCAGCTCCGGCCCCACAGCTTGCAGACCCCTGCTCTGACTTCATCAGCATTCAACAGAATCCAAAAATGTTTTGTCTTGATTCTTCAAGATATATGTCAAAAGAAATACACATAATTTCACCGGATTCTGTAAAACAGACCAGATGTGAAATCTACACACAAATGTTTCCATAGACACAGAAAAAAAAATGCATATATTTGTTTGTATTTTCGTTTTGAAGTGGGGGGTGTGTAATATTTAATAATACACTGTTATATAATTCCCCCTCCACCCAACATGCACAAAGAAACATTTTTTTATTATAAAAAGGTTCACGTATTTACAAAGCACACACAGAACACGTCTCTACACCACGTGACGCTGAGGCATCGCACACGGACGGCTTGCATGTCTAGGTCTGTTATTTCTATGCAGTCCTCGGTCGTTGTTGAATTTGGCTGGATGTGTTCATCATGCACGCGTCTCAGAGGAACGGGGGCTGTACAGCAGTTCATGCATAATATAGATAGAGGTCCAGCTATACAGGGGGTGAGCACTAGGTGGCAGCCTTTTCCCACTTTGTAAGCAGCTCTGAAAGGAGCAGGACATGCATAAGGCAAACACTACGCTAGGAGTCGGTCATATTGCTTTTCATAGAGTGTGCATTGATCCTAGATTAGCATTGTTTGGGGTTTAATTGTGCATACTTTCTTTTTTTAAACTAAAGAAGGGACAGAACTGCAGCTGGAATAAGATAGACACTTTCTCTCCACCTCACCACGTCCTTGAGCATACCTGTGTCTTGTCTCCTCTCTTCCCTCCCCCTGGCTCTTTTCCTTCCTTCCTTCCTCTTTCCTCCTCCTCTCCACAGGACAGCTGGAGAGACTGGCATTTCTCTAACAGCAGGGGGGAGGGGGGGGGGGCATCTGCACCCAGCCTGGGCTCACGCTGGGCAGAGAGAGGGGTGGGTGTGGCCTCGCAGACAGAGGTGTGTGTGTGTGTGTGTGTGTGAGAAACTGATGCATCGTCTGACCCTACCCTGGAACCGCCAGCGCTCGTCTGCAGCCTTCACAAGAGTGACTCAGGCTAAATGCTCCGGAGCAAGAGTCGCTCCGTTCATGAATCAGGGTGAAAACTTCTCACAAGAGACGAGGTACTGTACCTGTACCTCTCACTCATCAAGGGCCCCAAATGATTTAGTTTAGATTAAATACCAAACTGGGCTCCTAATTGGAGAAAATGAGACAGATTGTAAACCTTCTGCAGGAGAGGTCTCCGAAAAAGACAAATGAAGGGAGTTGGACACAAACACAGTTGGCTGGTTGAACACCAGCCAAATGTGTTGAAAAGCAGACTGACTCTATACGGACAACAAAGTGAAATTTTGTCCGCTTAAAAACCTCCATCTCTGTTTGGTTGACGTGAACTATGGTGTGGTTTGAATGCCAAGCTGACCGGAGATTGCTCCCAAAGCAGGAAGTGGATGACAACACAGGGCATTCTGGGTGAATTTTGGGTGAAAACAACCTAAACTTCTCACACTAGAGGAAAAAATGAACTTGTGGTCTTTGACCAAAAACAAAAGAGAAATCCTACAACAGCTAAATTCAGACTCCACTCCATTTCTTTACTTTTTGAGAATGTAATGAAATTGTCACGTCTTATTTGGATGTCTTTGTGTTGTTTCTTTCTGTGGTTCTTGATGTAGCGCCAGCACAGATGAGGAGGGGAACAGGTTTTTCAGAGTTTGGATTGTTTGACGAAGTGCAAACAATCCTAAACATCCAGCTCTGAATGTTCCAGAAGGTTCCAGTCAGGGGGTCGGTCCCAACGCTCTTTAGTAATGTAACAGAATAGTAAGAGGAGAGAGAGGAACAGATGAGTTACAGCAGCAGGTGAGTGGAGGATGAGCGCCTGCTGTGGTGAAGGGAGGCCTCTGTTTAGACTCTGGGTGAGAGAGCAGCAGGTTGACACTTCCTTCTTTTTAAAGAGCCAAAGAAATGGATGATAAGAGAAGCCAGAGGAAGAGGGAAAAAAGGAGACAGACAGACACTGGGAAGATGTTGGGGATTGTGTGGGTCAGATGTGCCGGTGCAGCGCCGGTAGGGGGGAGGAGGAGAGGGCCGGTCGCGGTTCGATTCCTCGACTCTTCATGAACGACAGCAGCTGGTCAGGGATCTCTGCCAGGACGTCTTTGGCCAGCCGGGCCATGCTGAGCACCTGGTTACCAGACCTGTCGATGTAGTCTCTGAACGGAACGAACTAGAAGCAGGAAGGAAAAAAAAAATCTGTGGCAAATATCACTCCTGGTCACGCTACGACCACAGATTTCACCGTATTTCATCAGAATTCTAAAGACAGATCAACATAAAACAGAGCTGTTTGGCTGAGCCGCAGAGGAGCGGCGGCGTCTCTCATCTGTCCTTGATGTGGGACAGAGGAGACCAAACCAGGTTCAGAAGTGTGGACCACAACCACTAAATCTAACTGGTAAAAATCTTAAAAGTGTGGTGTGCAATTTTGTCAACAGAATTCAGAGTCCATGTTATTGATGATTTTGGTTGTGTGTGGTTTGTATTTTTGCTTTTTTTGATGTTTTTGGTTGTGTTTTATTTTGGATTGTTATAATATCTTCCAGCTCTCTTTTGCATTATTATGCCATTATCAATATATTATTTCGAAATGGTCTCAATACAACCTTATTATTATTATTTTCTACTGGGACAATTTATCATGCAGGATAATTTGTTATTGCAACAGGCTTAGTAATACATTTTGGTTATCAGCCACAATAGCAGGATTATTATTGGCTATTGATATTATTATTGATATTGGCCTTTATTTTCACATTCTTGCATTCCTAATCGAAACCATTCCAAAATCCTAATAAAAAGCATTCAAATCTGTTCTTTTATTAAGGATTGTGATCATCGTTGCAAGCATTTAATCAGCTGTGGACAATAAAGACTGAAGGACATACGCTTCAGGTAATGTTCTTATTTTTTTTTAGGCAGATGACATTTTAAAATGAAGCAATTTTCACTCAAGGAAGCGGTTATTTCTGTAGGACTCTACAAAGAAAGGTTTGAAAAAAGATGATGATGCTTGACAATAAGCAAAAAGAGATAACAGAAATGGGAATGAAAGAACGGAGACGTGAAGATGAATTTAGACTGATAAAGAAGCACTAAAGAGAGCTTCCAGCAGATAAACCAGATGTATAAATAGCCAGCTGTAAGAAGTGGTTTGACACCGCTGATGTCTCTGGGGTTACATAATCGTCTGAATGTTGAATATTTGTGTGTGGAGAAGGCCGATAAAACTGCATTTTTAGATTAGATTGCATCCGACTGGAGGATTCGGAGCCGTTGCTGAACATCCAGGATGTTCAGACCAGAAAACAAAGTCAGCAAGAACGAGATGGATTTTTAACATTTTTGTTCCGGAATGAAAAGAAGACACCTGTAGTGGAATTTTTTGAGTGTCCATTAGCATGAAAATGCTTCTGCCTCCAACCAGTTCTGAAATTATTCAAAAATAAAGAAAAACACCCACTACTGTTTCTATTGTGTTATTCAGTTTTGAAATATTAAAGAACGTAAAAATAATAAGTACGGGTCAATAAATCGATCAAGTATTACAATTTGAAACAATGAATAGATATTTTACTAAAGCTGTTTATGTAATAGCAGATTTGGGTTTTTTTACTTTATCAAACTGGGTCTCAAAAGTCTTTACACCCCTGCTTTTTATGTGACATACATCTTAGGGCTGCAACTAATGACTTAAAAAAAAGCCATTATTTATTTTATTTTTTTTACACTATTTCAGAAATACTTTAAAATATGCTAACAATGTTTTAAAGACAAAAGATTCCTTTAGCATATGCTTCATCTAAAGATGCTTCTGCAGCTGAAACATACTGTCTGCTTAACTGTTGGTCACTTTTTGGATTAATAAATAGCAAAAGGTGCTTAAAAGGAGAGTTTTTTTTGTTGTTTTTACAGGATTTGGCAAAACAAAATTACAAAGATTCATTCATTGTTTATCTTATGCCAACATTAATGTCTAAATTTCTTGGACAATTTGGGCTTAGTTACTGCTCTGAGTGTGTTGTTCTTTCAGCAAATGGCCATTTTTAGTCTGAATCTCCCAGTTCATGAGCAATCGATTAATAAATTAGTTGATAATAATTTCAATAGTTGATTTATCACACATAATTTGATTAGTCGTTTCAGCCCTAATACATTTTGTGTTATTCAAGTGAAAAATCTGATCAAATCTGTAAAGAAGCTGCAATAACCTGGTTCTGTGTCTACACATCCTAATCTAATACTTGTAGGATAAATGTACAAAGATATGAGTCAGGAGAAACGCCATTCAAGCACAATCGTAAAATGTTTTGTGCAATCATCTGAAACCACAGTATGTCTTATTTTGGCCAAACAGTGTCAGCCATCAGAATCTGAGTCCCTGAATCATCCCGTCTTCCCTTCAGAGACCATTTTGGGAATGAATGAATATGACCTCGTTTTGGAAGACACATAAACCTGAAATGGATTCTGGTTTACTCTAAATTCAGAAATACTTCAATCTTTTTCTTCATTTCAACTAAAAACCATACAGCTTACAGTATGCGACCTGTGTGATATGAAACAGCCTGAACGTGACAATAAGGAGAAAAATAAAATATGACACAAACAGAAGGAATGTGTTTTGCCCCGTCTGTGACGTCCTTCCCTCTGAAGGCTTAATTAAGGCAAAAACGGAGGGAGAACTCTGCGCTTCTTCAAGTTGATCCTAACAGAAATTCTCTCATCAGTTGCAACTTTTATGAAATAATAATTTCATCTGCATATTTCAAAGTCTCACAGTGCAACCACAAAAACAAGAGGGTACTGTGCATATTAAACACAATCCTTTGGTAAGCTAACTATAGCGTTGCACTTTGAGCTCACGTCACAGAAAATGAACAATTGTTTACATGAAGTAACTTGTGGGCCATTAAGAGGCACCTGCAGACCACCAGTGACAAATTTTTTTCACAGATTATCTTTATGATTTTATGGTGTCACGACAGAATGATAGTATTAATACATAAAAAAAATATATTTTGTAATTAAAGTTACCTACTACAGTTTCCAAGCTGAGCTTCTACATTACAGAGTAGCCCTAATCTGCCACTCCCCCCACTCAGACCACAAAATACTTTAATCTGGTTTAATATGCACAATGGAAACCATCTCAGCGCTACTGCAGAACCTAGCATCAACTGTCTTCTTTATATCTGCTCTTGGGGGTTCAGCCAATCAAAACCAAGGAAAACAAATGCTACTCCTGGATTGGCTACTTACGCATTTATAAATACAGCCATACAGTTTAGGGTACTATCTGCATATTGCAGAGTAATTGCTAAATATGGAGGAAAAAAAGAACTGAAATGTTACAGATCCATCATCCTGCCAAACATTTGAGCTGAGAATCACTGTTGTTAGAGCAAAAGCAGTCACCAAATGAAAATAATGACACAATTAAATGCAAAATAGTGTGAAGTGATTGAACTTCCTTCTGTTGCTGTTAATCTACACATCCCTGTTAAGCCACTGCTAGAAGGTTGAAAGCAACTGAGTGATTAAATGTGATTAGCATTGCTGGGAGAACAACTTTAATCACCAGGTCAATAACAATAAATAATAACAACAGTGTAAAAGCAACATAGAGAAAAAAAACATTTTTATTAGTGAAGAATTCTACTTACGGTATTCAATGTGTGGAAATAAACAGATATTGACAAAATATGAAGCAAATATGTCAAAGTAGATTCTACAAACTGATAGTTTATGATCTAAAATCCTAACATTCCTGTAACGATGATGATGATGTGCATTCATCATCACAAACCCTCATTTATCATCGTATGGTACTCTCTGGAGGCGACAGAACGGTCCTCACCACTGTCATCTCAATACTTAATAGCACATTGTTACCACAAGATACGCTTATCTGCTTCCTCATATCCCTGAAAGGTTCTCCAAAACAACTGCTGGCAGATGTGGTTTTATCGCCTGCTCACGATAAAACACACAGCAGAACAAGTTTTCATTTTGCCAAAAAGAATATGGGCAATTTTAGAGCTGGTAATGGATGAAATAGTGAATGTCTTTGAGGAGGAAATGCATTGAGGACTCTTCTTCACATGCTTTTTAGCCACTTCCTTCATAGCTCCCTGTGAAGGATTGCTATTTTTGGCAGATAAATGTGCTTTCAAGTGTTTATCAGGACAGTGTTGTGCTTAATGCATACAGTAAAGGAGAAGAAATCCAAAACTATATATGGAATTGGACATAATACAGAAAAGAAATTTAAAAGAAAAATGCTGTCGAAAACCCTATAGGTCATGAAAAATCATTAAATATCACATTCACTTTAGTTGGAAAACACAGACATCATTTATGAAACTGCAGTTATATTATTATTATATTGCCCTTTTATGTTGTGAGACCTCAAAGTGCATAATATGGATTTTCTATGTGGTTTTACCCTTACATTATATACTTGTATGTTGTGACATTTCAAATTAATTCATTTAGTAAATTATATTTATATATATATATATATATATATATATATATATATATATATATATATATATATATATATATATATATATATATATATATATATATATATATATATATAGTAGATTTGCAATATATAAAAAACATTAATATATTTGTTGCATCGAGACAAAATCAGGAACAAGTCACCACAGTGGGAACAGAAAAATAGAAAAGAGAATCATACAATTCAGAGAAAATAAGGATGTTCCTTTTTCTGTTTAATATCCTAGTTGAAGTTATGAAGAAAATGCACCATGCATTCAAAAGCAGTTTCTGAGCTTTTAAAATGGTAAACGCTGTGTTTGCATTTAGCTTGTTTACAGAGTAGATTTGCATCGTTTTGGGGGGAATTTATGCTTCTTTCCAAAATGTAGCTTACTTGTTGAAACCAATAACAGAATTTGTGTAAATATCCAAACAAAGCCAGGATGTTGGTGAGTTTTCTCCAGCCCCTGCAACGGATCTGATGACCGTATGAATTCAAACACAGTTTACCATTTTAAAACCTGAGTAACTGTAGCCTGCCTCTTGGTTTTATTTTCAGCATTTATTCTAGTGATATCTGACGTAAATGTTACTGTTATGGCTGATAACATATAATTACTGATTATGTATTTGAGAGAGCTTGAAAAAAGTCAGCACACAGCTGCCTGTTTGTATTGTTTCTGTTTGTCCTTCACATGACCGACCAAACACCAAATGACCAACCCTCTGCCCTCCAGAAACAAACAGCAACATTGTGGAATAAATATTGGTATTTCATATCAGTCCAGTTTTTTTAACACATCAAAACAATGTGTTAAAAAAGAGACTAATATAAAAAGAAACCGATGTTAATGACGATATATTGTGCATCCCTAATTTATTCAAGTTTCCTTCAGTTTGTGTTTTTGTTGTTTTTGCTCAGCAAAGAGCTTCATAATTCTTAAATGTGTGTCTCCCAGTATTTTTACTGTCTGGATTCGGTTGGTCTCTATTGGTCTGCAGAGCCTTCTAGACAGTAGCTACTAATAAAGCTCAGTTTGTACATCCGTGCTCAAGGCACATCCTTGACTCATAAGGATCAATAATTACTCATATTTGCTGTGCCTTTCATTATTTTCAAAACACTGAAAATGATCCAATTTAAAAATGTCGAGTGGATATTCTAGATCCCATTTTCCCAATTAGCAGCACAAAGATTGTGTCTACAACAGACTCCACACATTCTGATTGGAGGTCTGCTTCACAGTACACCCAAGGTCTGGCTTAGCGCTTCAGGATGTTACTTAATGACTGCTATGTCTGTGACGTTCTGCTAACTCATAATTTAAAAAAATTAAGACAGTAAACAAACAAAACTTTGCGCGTACTAAAACACAGTAGGCTCCACTGATATCTGCATTAAGTAACTTTCTACCAAGAAGGCATCAATATTATTATTACTATTATTTAAAAACAATAACAATAATAAGAATATACAATTATTCATGTTGTTATATTATAATATTCTTAGTACAATCATTATCAATAGTAATAATAATTATCAATACAAACAATTCAAATTGTTATCATTTATTAAATTGATAATAATTATTTATTGTTATGAACAATAATTACTATGATTTATTATAATTATTTCGGTATAGTACTTAGCAATATAATTATTAAATTACTAATTATCATATTAATTAGATGCTATATAATTAATTGTATGTTGATAAACATACTAATATATTTATATTTATATTAATTTTGCTATTATTATTACTAATAATAATACAAAAAAATGTTTCCATCATCCATCTATGATCTAATGTGCATAAAGTCTTTTTGTACTGTGGGAGGAAGCCGGAACACCCGGAGAGAACCCACTCATGCACATGGAGAACATGCATAAAGAACCCACAACAGTCAGGACTTGTTCCTCCACCTGTACGGGGAGGAAGGTTAACCTCCCGTTCACCGGGGTAAACCCCAACGTAACTCTCCAGAAAGACGGAAAACATCGTTACTAAAACCTCCTCCATTTGAAAAAGTCTTGAAAAACACAGATGGCTAATAGTCAAAGGGCTGCTTGTCTACTACCTGATGTTTTGAGATGGAAGCATTTATAACCTCAGATGTTCTTTGATCTATGACATAGATCTGTGTCATAGACAGTGAGGTCATAGCTACAATGAGCTCATTGTAGTTCTGGGGTAATGTCCTGCTTCTGATCGTTGCTATTGAAACGGTCAAATCAGTTCCGGCTGACTCTAACTATTAATCCTATGCAACTGCATCACTTTACCATTTGAGGCAAACAGTTAAACATGATGGACGTTTGAAGTATATATTTCAGGGGGCTAGGGATTAAAACAGGGATATATACATTTAGATACACATTTAATGTGACATGATTGAGTCCTGAATGAACTTTAAAATATTTTAGTTATTGTTTCAAATGGGGAAGTTGGAAAACTTCAGTACAGCTGTGTGATTCTCTAGCCAATCAGAGTGCAGAGTGTGTAGCTGGAGTGAGATAAGAGGTCTTGCTGGTTTAACTGGAGCTCAGCTGGCTCCATACCTCCCATCCATCCCTGTGTTTGTGTTTTCTTTCTCTTTCTCTATTCCTGTTTACTTCCATTTCACTCAACTTTACTTAGTCTGCCTGGAACACCCAGCTTGTTTGGGGAGGTGTGAATCATGGTTTGATGCTAGATATTTTGACTGTATTACCAAGCCACGTTTATTTTATAAAGTTGAGACAATTTATGAGTGCATGCTGTTTTTTAGCAAATGTGTCTGAAAGGGTCATTGTTTAAAATGCTTTTGAATGTTCCATGTGTGTAGCTAACTACCTGACCCCAGATTTCACCAAACATCACGGGTGAGATTACAGATTAGATTAGATTGTCACTCTTCCAACATCTGTTCAATTCACCCCTTGCATGTGACTAATCTACATTAGTCTAGGTGATGTCAGTTGTCAGATTCTGTTGTTATAGAACCTATTATTAGATTTTAACGTATAAAATCTGTTTTGTAAAAACAAAAATGGGGATTCTTACTTTTACCAAAAGCTGTATCTGTTTGTTGTATAAAATAACTTCTATTGTGTTTTGCCTCATTTTATGAATTGAATATGAAATTGCCAGACAAACCTGGGAACTTAACAATGTAACACATTTGGGTATAAACTGCTGAACAAGTTGAAAAGACACGATTAAAGGACCCTGCTGAATCTTTTTGAGACACCAGTTTTCCAACTCTGAAAAAAATGTAAGAATACAGTAACCGTATTCAACCATATAACTAAACATTAATGTAGGCCTGTTTATTTTCTCTCAGTTGTCATATTATTGTGTGTTTGAATGCCTGATGTAAATTGTAAATGTGACCCACTCTCTTCGGGGGCATGTACCTCCTGTGGTTTTTCTTTTTGCCGAAAAGCTCTTGTGACAGACCTGCAAATTTAAATATAATCATGAGGAGTACCTGAACAATGTCTCTCTCAGCAAGACGTCCTCTGGAGGATACTCTCACCTCGTCTCCATCAAGCTCCTCCATCGCTGAAAGGACAGACAGCGACACGGGGAAATTACTCAGTACAGGAACCACCGGGAGAGAGAATAAAAGAAGCTTTGAGATGTTGATTTTGCATGTTCAATGCGTAATTGCTGAAGTGGGACACATCATGGGGACTGGGAACAGGTACACAAACTGCTTTACACATGGAAAATAGGATTCCTCATGGAAAAGAAATAGGGCATAATCAGACCAGTTGGAAAATATAGTTGAGACCACTTATTGGGAAAATTTTGTTGTAACCAGGACTTTCTGTAAGTACAGCTAATTACAGAATTGTGTCTGATTGCAGATGATTGTTTGAGCTGGCTTCACAAAACCTTCAGCTTTAAGTTGCCAAACATGTAACATGATTAACCAATTCCAAGTAGTTTTTTCAGGTCATATAAGAATCAGTCTACTTATCAAAATCAGTTTCATTAGTTCAAAATCTGAGTGATTTATTATATACCCTTTCTATGCTCTATTAAATATCTAAAGACAAGCAAAGATATTTATGATTAGAAAATCTGAATTTAAGTTGACTAAAATTGTTACATTCGTTGAAGGTTGATCAGTTTTTCCCAGGGTTTCTGTTATAGACACATTGTAGCTTGACTACATGCACAAGCTCCCTGCTGCAGGGCAGAAAGCTGTTTGCTGATGATAACTGCAATTAGTCATAAATCTACATATGATACTGTATATATTAGAAAAAGGAACACAGGTATTTGCTACTAATCGTCAACACTACAACAACTAGATTACAAGACAAGGACAAAGTTTTGATAAAAAAATGAGAGGAAGAGTAAAGTATGTCAGTTTGCTTTGACGGGTCTGTGTGTCAGCTAAGCTATGTATATATATATATATATATATATATATATATATATATATATATATATATATATATATATATATATATATATATATATATATATATATATATATATATATATATACATATATATATATATATATATATATATATATATATATATATATATATATATAATTTTTTATTATATTTAGATTTTTAAATTTGTTCTCATACATGAAGAGTTAACTGATAGTATGCACTATAAAGACACTCAGTAATCTAAAAGTGTGGCACTGCCATATAAAAGATAGTGATGCACAATGTGAAGCTGCATTAGCAAGAACTAGTCAACAAACATTACAAGGAAACACTATTGCATGTCAAATTCAGAACTAATTTGAAGAAAAGAGCCACAAAGACTGTGAGGTTCTATTGACAACATGACCTTCACCACACCTTGGTGCTTTCACAAACCTCCTGCCACTCAATTACTTAAACAAGTGGGAAATAATAGGTCCTACGACACCGTGATGAAGTGTGAAGTTGCTACACCATCCTGATCTGAAACAGATTGTGCACACTCTTACTCCAGCAGTCCCCTCTGACAAATAATCCATTGATCTAAAGCCTGTGTGGCGGCCACACACTTGACTTCATAGAGCTTCCACAGTGTTTCTTCCAGGACGGGGAGCAGAGCATTAACCAACATACAGACGTCATTATGTCACAGCTGCTCTGGCAGCTTTCCTGTTTGAGCCCCTCAGAGTCAAGCCAAAGTCAAGGTCACCATTAAATGATTTTTTTCTGCTATAAAACATCACTTCTGTGTGTCTTAGACTGAGTGATGCTGGAATGTAAATGGCTTTAGATGAAAGCCTGATCTATTCATGCGGGTGTCTTTTTTTTCAGGGCTTACTTGTTATTTCAGCAATTCATTTATAGGACACACTGTTGGTATATTTATTTTCAATAGTACAATTCCCTTTTACTTTTAGTTATCAATGTCTTTTCGTAGAGCTATGTAGACTTTAATATTTTTAAATCACGCTAACGGCAGAATCTGCAACTAATTAATCACATGTTGATGAAAAACAGAGAATCAATAAAATAAGCAAGATTTTCAAATCAAAAAACTTATTTCTGCTAAATTGCTGAACTAATGGAAATGTGAGATTTACAGTTTGGAATCTGTTATTTAAATTAATTAATAATCAGATTGATAAAAGCTCAATTTATTTACCTTCTTTGAGTCGTATCATATTCTTTCTACTTTACAAATATCTTCTAATTTGTGTTAGTCACATAAAATCCCCAATGAAATGCATCAAGATTTGTGGTTATAATGTCACTATATGTGGAAGCTGTTCAGGGATATAAATACTTTTGCAAATTATTGAGCTTATTAACTGTGTCAACTGACTGAACAGCTCTAAGGTGATGTTAACAACTATATAGAATTAAGAAATGTTTAGTGAAGGTCATTTTATGTTTTGTGAAACTCTTCCAATTATTTTAATTAAGACTGTTTCCAAACTGCTTCTTGGTGTCTCATCGTGATTTTTTAAATGAAGGACACCAAAGCAGGAAGAGCAGGACAACCATAAGAAACAAAGGCTGGATTGAGGAATTGTTAAAGCAATTTATCAGTTTTTTGTGACTCTCTGTATCTCAGTTTTTACTTGCTCAACTTCAACTTTCCTCCCACACTGTGTTCTATCCTGACAAATATTTTCAGTATCAAAAGGCATGGCACATGGGTATAAGCGTGAAAAAATGATATGCAATTTGTGGAAAATCAAGTCCTTTCACATCTTTGAAGACACTGTTATTTCTGATGTGCCCCCATGGTGTGTGGTGTGTGTGAGAATATTGTTGATTTTTGCTCATATAAGTTCTTTTTCAGTGCAATGCTGGTAACGACTTCAGGACAAGGGGACTGTTTAAAAATTAACTCATATCTGGGGAAGACACTTCAGTAGAACGAGTTTTTATAATTAGTCATAAAATTATTAGCTCAAATAATCAGAAAGAAGGTCAGGTTGCTGTTAGCTGGGGCCCTCCAAACATCTAAGCAAATTACTTAATCTTCGTGAGTGCAGACAGAGGGTGTGCATAGCACAGCAAGTGGTTATTTGATTAAAAGGGTAGTATTATGTAAAATCAATTTTTTTGAGCTTTACATATTTGAGAAATACTTTCATCATTCATCTTTGCAAAACATCTGAGTGAATATAGCTCCGCCTTCAAGACGCAGCTCCTCTTGGAAGCTACAGTTTTCAAGCTACTGAGCTTCCGCCTCACATAGCAGCCCTCCCCATCACTCCTCCACTCAGCTCCTTCAAACTAGCCAGCAACAATTAGCAAACACCTGGTGGAACAAAATTAAAGTTACTCATATGAGCTTGAAGGCTGAGCTCGGTCCACTCAGGCATTTTGCAAAGGTGAATGGTTGCCATGGAGATTAAATGATTTCTCAAATATCAAGGCAACATTCCAGGTATGTTTTTGATGAGGGAGTAACATCATACCAAGAGGTAAAGCTAAAACATATAGAGTTTACAGAATACTCCCCTTTTTATCAAATATCCTCCAGCTGATAAAAATATTTAAATATTTTTAAGCCAATCTTTTGTCAGAAAACCCCACATTCTACTCAATTTTTTTTCAAATCCCAAGTTAAAATGTTAAATAACGGATAATCGAAAGTTCTACAGCAGTTTTATCTTCTCTGTCATGTTTACTCATAATAAAAGAAATGATTCTGCTCACCGTCAAACTCAGCAGGGCCGACGCCAACAATGATTATGGACAGAGGAAGTGATGCTGCCTGTTAAAAAAACCCAGAAATATTAAAGATTGCTTACATTTTAAATTCAGGAGATATTATAGATGTTTATTAAGTCAACTGGTCGTTTGGCTTGTCAATGTATTCAGTATATCAATATAATTGATACAGGGAAAATGAGTTATTCAAAGACACTGTTTTGTGTCAAAATCAATACCATATGAATAGCAGTGATTTGATGTGAAAAAGCGGAGTCTGATGAGTTCCTTTCACTTATTGGCTCAACAACTTTTTTACCCCCAAAAGATCAATGTTGTCAACACAAACTGTAACTAGTTTTGATGAAAACTCTGAAAGCAAGAAAAAAAAAAAGATAAAAAAAGCGTGTCATGTTTTCCAGATTTACTTCCAATTATTGGGATCTAACTGGGCTGATTCTTAACTGTGCTAATTTGTGAAAAAGGTGTGTTTGGACTAGAGGAACAGCCTTCAGGTAAACATTCTGGAATTTTCAGACATAAGCAGAACAGTGTAAGATGTTTTGCAGCTTCACTTTGGGGAAGGCTTTTAAACTGATGCAACACCCTGAAAAATGCTTATAGTCAAGGTTCAATGAGATGCCAACACTATTTTTTATGTTTTACAGCTGAAAGTTTTGGGGGTTTAAAGCAATTGTCTCAATTTTTTTTACCTGGCAGGCAGCAGGTTTTATCAAAATCAAATAAATAAAAACACTTGTCAGAAATATATTCTGCCTCATTTTCTAGCAGTACAAAAACACAATGAAGGGACACAACAATATACATAAATATTATCGCTAAATGAGATGACAGGACAGTAACCCATCAGGTTCTAGCTGTGTTTTCTTTTGTTTCTTTGCTTCTTTCTCCATTGTACATGTGTTGTGTGTGTGTTGTGTATTTATTTATGTGTGTTAGTTCACTCACGTTGACCACTGCCTCTTTGGTCTGGACCATGTCAGATATCACTCCATCTGTGATCATCAACAGGACAAAGTACTGAGAGCCATCTGTAATCTCTGCTGCACAGCTGGACACACACACACACACACACACACACACACACACACACACACACACACACACACACACACACACACACACACACACACACACACACACACGGTTTAAAGCTCACATTTTGATGAGGCACAGAAACTCAAAGAGCACCTGCCTGACCTCTGGAACAGGAAAGAGGTTGAATCAAGTTCTCAAAATCTAACAGTGTATATGGAAGGCAATGTTGGACAATGACAATACATATAATGTTACAACAGAAAAATGTACAAAGCTTCTAGACTTGAAGTTTGCTTTGTAAATATTGATATTCTAGTTTCAAGTATATATTTACTTATAATAAGTAATATTTTCTTAGTATCAAGGTTTTCTGTTTTACTGAGATAATTAAGTACAAAAACACTTAAAAAAATATTCTAACATTGTTGAGAAAAATTATCTTGTCAGAAAGAAAACAAGCATAAATCTCCTTAATTTAAAATATGTAATACAATTTCAGTTTTTGCAATGTAGGTTCTAATTATTGGTCACTCATCTGGAACATTATGGATAACACTAGTCCTGCCCGTACATTTTGAAATATCACTTTGGAAAAGGTTGCTGGAAATAGCAGAATTTGCAGCAGCTTCTTCAATCGTGCACTAAAGTTTGTAAAACAACACACATTTGCTTGTGTTGTTTTTGTATTTCCCAAAGAGTCCTGGAACCCATTGACTGAATAGGTTCTGCTGTAGCAAACGCCCGGGTCCACTGGTGGATCTCTGGTAAGGCACAGAGAAACAAAACTCTGAGAAATTACAAAGTCCAAACCTCCAGGGTGGAGTGGAGAACTTTGTGAATTAAATTACAAAATTTTTTTTAATGAAAATATTTTCTCAGCTTTTAGATTTTGTTACCAAACTTTCTTTTTAGGTTCAATAAACTAACTCCAGTCTTGAAGACAGTGTTTAAAACATTTTATGTGCTTGCTGGTTTTCACAAGACTCATACATTTTAACTGGTTTGGTCTCAGCAAGCTTACCTCCAGCCAATAAGGATCATTTCCCAGTGTTATAGTTGGTGCTAAAAAAAAAGAGCAAGAACTGAAACTATTCAAGCTCTGTCCAAGATTAGGAATGGCTGGATTTTTCACATCAAAACAAGAAATAAACAAGCGTTATGGTTAAACTCCCAGCTTTTTGCATTCCTTACAATTTAGTGCTGATAAAAAAAAATGACTCAGATACTCCTTGATGTTATTGGCTGGGCAAAAAGAATCACTGCATTGTGTTGTTTTTCTTCCTCAAATGAAAGCATCAGGAGCTCCTCAGCCTCATTTAAATTCAGCAAAAGCTGGTTAAACAAAGAGACAACGCTGTTTTTATCAAGGGACTGGACACATTTCGATGCAGAAGGTAAGCCACAAACAAACACTTGTACACAACAGAGAAAGAAAATAGGGCGTTCATGAAATAAATACTTCCAGCTGGAGAAACGGTCCTATTCAAACGTCAGCAGCTATTGTCTACTCTAATGCTTTCTGAGACAGGGTAATGGTTTTCCTCTTTACAGTTTCCATTATGAAATTTAATGGGATATTGAATAAGTTTTTAGGAAAGCAAATTGTATTCCATTTTTACAATCCACTCAGAAAAATGACTATTGTAATCCATTTGAATTCCCATTTTTAGATGTTCTTGGTTAATTCTGATGTTTCCAGATATTAATGATATGATGTGAAATATGTGATGGGGAATGAGTTCAGTTTCAACATGGACAGTTCTCCTACTAGAACATTGACAAAAGAGAAGACAGCCTAATAATTCAAACCACTCACTTAACAACATATTAAAAGCATACCCTGCTTTGGTTTCATTGAACTGCTGTTTTAATTTGAAACCTGCAGGTTTACAGCTGAAATTATAAATGGTTTCTTTTCATGTTTTTTTTTTTCTTTTCTTTCTGAACTAAAAGACCACTGACAATTTGATAAAGACAGACAACGCTTAATAGAATGTGTTCATTTGCTAAATTATGTTCCCGTTTAGAATCATATAATGAAGAAGCAGGTCATGCTTCAGCCAAAACCACCTTTTGAGCGAGAAGTCAGTGAAATGTGAGTCTGAGTGGCTTTTCTGTCAAAGCCTCCTCCACCTCACATCACTTAAAAAGGCTTTCATGTTGGAGGATCAGTTCTGTATCATAGGTGAACAATTAGGGCCTTCAAGGTAGGGAATAATAATAATTTAATGGGGCTTTTCATTGACAGCATAATGTGCCCTCTGATGGATTTTTGTAGCTTAATGCAGAAATTGGTTCATTCAAATATTGTTTAAATGTGGTCTGCAAGGAGACTTTTAACCATTTACCACATCATGCATTGTAAAAGTCTATTACACTTCAACTACCAGTCCACAAAAAGCTCCAAACAGAAAGATTGTGGGACATAAACATGGTATTTCCTCCAAGAATCTAGATTAGGAGACAGCACGACAGAGTCTGAAGGGAAATCCCAGATAAGTTTGAGGGATAATGAAAAGATCTCCACTCCCTAAGCGAAAGAGGAGGACGCTGTAAACAAATTTTAATGCAGGAAAAGCCTGCAACAGCAAAATACTATCAGAAAAAAAAAAAAAAAAAAAAACTTGCATTAGTCACAGGATTTAGTGGAAACAGTCGAGAATGTACTTCAATCCATTTTGTCTGCGTCTCATGTGATTAGAAGAGACAGTAACAAGTGCATCCTGCACTGCTCTGTCATACAACTTTAAGGCCATTTTACCAGCAATGTTAAACTTCTGCTAACCATGATATCAATGGAATTAAGTGCAAATTAATTATGAAAAATTAATAAATGTGGGAATTTTTACTGATATCTTTTATAAAGCTATAATCTTTTTAGCTCACAGTCATGATAAAAATAAAGTACACCCCCTTTCTGTGGTAGGTGTATAACTGCTGAATGATCTGTCCTCAACAGTTTTGAAATTCATTTTAAAAAGTCTAACATTTTATTAAACAAGAACAGATCAAGAGAGAGAAGTGTGTGAAAAAATAGATACACTTCTCAATCCTTTAAGTTTCAGATTTTAAGATAAGAATCAAACAGCAGCCCTCCCAAAGCTATTCTGACCTTTAAGTTGATTTCTAGGCCTAAGCTTCAAGCGGTAGGATTTGTCTGAAAGGAATGTTTGTGTCATCAGCGTAAAATGTTGAATTCCTTTAAGCTTACTTTGCTACTTTGTTGATAACTGGTGCGAAGTTGGTGGGTCCATACAGCTGCACTGTCCTCAGGCTCTGGAAGTAGGCCTCCAGAACTCCCTCTATGCCCACACAGTTTGGCTGATCGCTGTCGCCATTCTGCAACACAAAGAACAATATGGAGACACACATAGCAAAGAAACTATTCTGATGGAAATAAAGTGATTGTGATCAATGTAATTAATTGATACTGTGAAAACTACTACAGTTCAACATTATCACATTTCATAAATGAGAAAAAAGTTTTAATAACTTTTTCTGAGTTTTATTTTAATTTTTTTTTAGCTCCCGAGCTAAAAAAAAAATTGCTAGAGAGAGGGACAAAGGTCAGCCACGCGAGGTTGACTTTAACAATTTAATATGAAGAAGTACTACAGAATTTGGTGTATTTCTGTTCAGTTAAAAAAGAAAAAAAAAAGTGGATGACCCATAAACAGACAGAGCAGCAGGAGACAGTTATCTAATCAACTTCTGCTGTGTTCAGACCATCACTTATTCCATCCATTTTCTTCCACACTTAGCAGGAAAAATAAATCCTCTTTGGAGCACAGTTTTGCATGCTTCTAAAAGAAATTGAAAGTAATATTAACAGGTGAATTGTCATGTATGGAAGACCAATCCTGATATTATTAGGCAATTCAGAAATAAATGCATGAAAGCTTAATAAGTTAATTACTCACCACAAATTAGTTCAACAAATGAATTAATGTGCCATCAAATGCAACAAGATAAAAACACTGATCAAAATTAGACTTAAATTAATACTTTTTAATTAAATTTTATCTTTTTATCTATTATAATGTATCAATGTATAATTTTTCTAATTTTGTTTTAATATATTTTTCTTTTATATTAGAGAGAGGACAATTTGTTAATATATTTTTGTAGTCTTTGTATTTTCTTATTTTATTCCTTAACAAATATATTCACAAAAGAAAAAAAAAGCATTTTTTTGTTGTTCTTTTTGTATCTTACTTCTTGTTTCTGGCAGGTTGGGACCTCCAGGAACTTGGTCTTCAGACATTTTGGAGACTACTGCTATTTTTGAGTTTTCAAAAAAAATAATAAATAAAATAAAACTCCCTGGCTTCCCATGAGCACTTTAGCTTCCGAATGTTTACCCACATCGCAATAAATGTGTACACCACATTTCCTGGCTGTTCAAAAACAAGTATTTTAATATAAAAGATTGTGGTGAAACGTAAAAGTAAATCTGTTTCTAATTATTTCCTTCATAACATGCAACAACATATTCATCTATAATACAATAGAAAAAACTACTGAATTTGAAGCATTCCTTTAAAATTGTGTGTTCATTTGCCTAATAATCTTTGCCTATAAAATAAAAAAGTTTGTGGTCATCTAGAGTTAGCTTGTATCTAACAATACAAATCCCTTAGTTTTGCTTCAGCTTAGCATCCAGAAATGTTTGACAGTCTGCCTTCTTCCCCTGGGGACGGAGCCAAGAGGAAGAAGAGAGTTTGCCGGGAGATTCCCGCTGGCAGGCAGATGAGCTATCGTCTCAACTTGTGTGCCCAGCTGTTGTTGTAGCCACACGTCTTGGCCCAAGCCGACTGCATGGACGTGCTCCGCAAGTGTGAATTTATGTTTTGTGTGCATGTGTCCGTCTTACCAGTGGGAAGGCGTGGGAGATTTTGCCATCAGGGGGCAGCTTAGCTCCAAAACCGTAGGCAGGAAAGAGCTTGTCACTGTCGTAGTCCTGGATAATCTCCCCCACTGCTTTCAGGGCCATGGCATATGCATTCATCTGGTAGGGACTCATATAGTGGAGGGAGGTGGGCTGGGACGGGTTACCTTAAAAGACAACACAATAGGCATTAACAAAGGAAATATCTCCATGCTGTAACAGAGGGTTTTCCCATACGTCACACTGCATGTTTGACCAGCAACAGATCTAAGTGGATTTTCGCATAAATTATGGGATTAGGAGTACGACTCTTCATGTTCTCAATGTTACATTTGTCACATTCTCAGCTGGTGTGCTTCGTTCTCAAACTGCATGGTGTCAAATGAAGCAAACCCTTAGAAAACCTGTTCCATTCTCCCATATGGTGCCGCTATTGAAGAAAATAAAACGCAGCTTCCTTCTTTAGGACAAGTGAACAAAAATCTTTTGTCATTGGTAAAGTCTATAAGACTACATTTCTCCTGCTAGTGCTAGTATCTTTGTTTTGGTTGTATTTACCTATAATTCCTTGCAATGTAGTCCGTTTCGTGCTTTTGGAGCGGACTCCGGTCCAGTTGGTGTTCACATATGCACAACAGTTGACCTTAACCAAACCTAAGCCTCGGTTTTTTGATGGACAAGAGTTAACTTGTCTCTTGTCCATCAGAGTTTGATCCATCAGAGTTTGATTATACATTCATACTAATGGTAAACCATGTCCAAATACAATGTACATGATGCTAGAGTGGCTTTTGTAAGTGGCATATTTTGATAAATGTCAATACACATTATGTGATTCTCTTTGGAGCGATGGTCTATTTCTCCTACTTCAGAACTCAATAAATTTTTAAACAAATTAATTGTAAAATGTGACACTTACAGCCTGAATTAGACTCTGGCCTCCAGCCAGACACATACTGTTCAGGTGTCTCGGGACCGTCTGTACCTGAAGACCGTGACTCAAGACAAACAGTAGGGTTTGAAAAAATACGGGCTCCTTTCTCTGCTTTGATTATGTAATCTACTTGACACACGGGCTTCTGAGAGTTGTGTGAATGCTTGGATAGTATCCGGATGGGAAAGGAACACAGATCCATGAGGAGGCCCAGTTGAATACATCAGCCTAATCAACTTCATCAAAATTTAATGGCAATGTGTTTTACTGGGAATTGCCGCATAACTTTATTTGTGCCCCAATAACAATTTTTGGCAGTGTTCACAACTTTGGCCCATAGGAGGCACAGTGGAAACTAAGTTGTAGTTTGACAGATTTTGGAGGATTCCTCCTCCTCCATGGTTTGCCATGGTGGGTTAAAATTGGCCGACCACACTGATTAAAGCTAATTCCCTTGAAAATGTGTGGCTTTGCTTTTTTCCAAACTTTCATTAAACTTGAATGTAGAACTTCAAATGATAAACAAATCCTTTGTGTTTCATATTGTAAGAAACTAAACTGACCCGTGCCTGGCTGGTCAGGCTTAACGCTACAATGTTAAAGTTTCATCAGAAAATAAGTTTTATATATATTTGTTAAAACTGCCACCATGTTGTGATAGTATGTTATGACACACAGATGTGTGAACAAAATTTATCTACTCCATTTTCTTAGTATTGCCATCTGACAAAATGCACCACTCCTGACCAAAAACAACCAATCAAAGCCGGGAGGCAGGGCTTAGCGCTGTCAATCAATCTCTTGTATTCACTGCTAAATGCTAATGGCAGAGAGAAAAAAAAATACTTAGCAATGCAGGAAAACCGTTTAACTGCCGTTATCAATGGCTAGACTAAGCAGCCAGTGCATTCACAACAAACTCTGCTAACTGCAGATTTGCTGTAAATGTATGTGAAAAACCCAATGCTGCTAAACCTGAGAGCAGAAAGGAAGAATATCACATCTTATAGCAAACAATAATCAATAGAGTCATAATAGGAAGTAATCAGTCTTATTATAATGTTTTAGCATTTACCCCCACAATGATTATCATTCCTGTAGTAATAGCTCTTACGACTAAATGCCATCTGTCATTCCTGGGTTTATGATAAGATTCTCGTCAGAGAAGCTTTCTATTAAAGGACAGGAAAGGACCCATTTGATCTAAAAAGCCATAGTTACGCTGACGTTTTCCACACTGACAGATCCAGCTACGTGATTCCCCTTATCTAACTGAACTTCCAGTTACGCTGCGGGTGTACAATACGCTTCTGAAAATATAAATATCAAGTTGAACTGTGCGGATCTGACATGTTTTAGCAAAACTCATTCATTATTTTAAACCTATTCACTCAGTAGAACACCAAGAAGTCATGAAGGGATTCCAAACAAGAGCGTTCCTGGCCATCACTCTGACCACGTCCCAGATAAGAGGTTCAATGGATCATACTATTTCTAAAAGGTTGTATATAAAAAGTGAAGTGTTCCTTATTTGCTAAAACACGTTTTAGAAACGGCCTGAGCAAAATAACATAGTCTGCTCAGTCTGTGTGTTCAGTAACTTACCATCAGATGCTGTGAAGTCAATCGCTACAGTGAAGTTCATAAAATAGGGTTAAATTAGTCATAATCTTGTGAAAATATAGTCATAATAATACAAAAATAAACTCAACCAAAAATAAAGGTGTAGTTTAGACTGAAGAAGTCTTCATTCATAATACAAGAATGACGTCATAATATTCCAACTCTCTCCTCTCATTATTTTATTTACTCTGGTATACATTCATTTTCATATTACTATGAGTTTATTCTTGTAATTTTACTTTTTAAAATGTTCTTAGCAGAATTCGAATTCTATGACCTAATATAATCTTATGAATCTTAAAAGTCAAGTTTTCATTAGATCATAATCAACAACATAAAATCTTGAAAGCATCAATTACAATGGAAATAATCTATATAATGTATTTCACCTAACGATAGAGTTGCTGAAATGAACTTATTAATAATATCTTAATGTATTTCAATAGTTTGATCTTAAATCTGAAATGAATCTGCATCCAAACAAAACATTGGATAAAAAGGATGTGGAATGAGTAGAACATGGCTGTTCAGCCTGGAGGAAACAAAGCAGGTGAGATCTGTGATCACCAGCTGCTAGATAAAATTAAATGAAAGGTTTGTTTCACAGCTATCAGTTTGAAACAACTGGATCAATCACAGGAGTCCTCCCCTGCAGCTTCATGCACCTTTCATGACCTGACATCATTTCCCCCATGACTTCTGCAGATAATTGTACACAGAGTCTAACGTGAAACAAGTCAAATGTGTATTAAGAAAATAAAAGAATCAAGATGGTGCAGTAAAATGGCAACGACAAGGAATGAAAAACTTCAAATGCAGCGCATGGATAGCTGCGTGACTGACAGTTCAACGCTCAACAGTTCAACAGGAGAAGGGAGGCAGCGAATGCTTTGTGGGAGGTTGTCTGCATTATTAAAAATGTTTTGTCTTCCACATTCCCAAATCACAAATCTTCAGTTGTATTTTTGATGGATTTTTAACCTAAGCTGAATCAACTGAATCATGAAACAGATAAAACAAACCTTCATGATCTTACTTGTTTTCTGAATGCTCTGATAAAATAAAACTACATATTTTTCTACTTTGCTTAAAGCAGTTTTAGTGAATGTTGTAATTTTTGTAAAACAGCATTTTGATATACTATGTTGTCATCAGCATATTTAATAGAGCCACAATAACAGAAAGTTCTAAAGTCATTGGACATTTGGTGGTTCTGTTGTTAAAACCTGGAAAGTATCTCTTACAAGTCATAGCAGACAACAAATGATGTAGTTAAAATGTCTGAAAATATTTTCCCTCTATACTCAAGATCTATTCCATTGTTTGAAGATGTCTGTCTTCACTACATCTTACTCAACTCAAATCTGGCTACTCTTTAGAATAGATACTACATATTTTAAGTCTTCTGAGAAACATCAAAATGATTCAAAAAGCCTTTTGAGAATTTTTTGTGATAATTGAGACTAAAATTAGGCTAGAACTTTTTATCTGTGGCATAGTTCATTAAAATGGCACATTTCTGAAGTATTAAAATTGATTTCAATAGGCACTGTATTAGCGATTAGGTAATGCATTCAACAAGTACTTTTACTTTTTTAATAATTTTAAAATCCAGTACTTTTTCACTTTTACTAAGTGAGAATGTTTATGTAGTACTTTTACTTTTACTAGAGTACATTTTTGTTTGTGAAAATGTTTTGAGTACCTTCTCCACCACTGATGAGTTACATGGGGATCATTGTCCTAAAATATAGCAGAAACAGGCAAGAAAAACGCAGCAAAAATTTTAGTAAATTGTAGTACAGAATTGATGTAACACTTCTCCTGTCATACCAACAGCAAAATTTCACAATAGCCCTGTAGTGTCCGCTTTAAATGAACTCTAGTCCATTTACCCTAAAAAATCCAGTTTGTTTTGAGAGATGTGAAAGTGCAATCAAACTCTGATGCTCACTCTGGTCCATCTAAATACTTATGTCTCAGTTCAGTTGAAGTGAACTCTGGTCCAGTTCAAATGCTTATGTGAATGCAGGCACCGACTCTACCACTGATCCACAGGGACCCCTGTTAGGCTGCCGTCTTTCACTTGAAGATCAAATATAACTTCTGGATGTTTGGTATTTTTAAATAAAATAAAAAATACCATAAAAACTGTTAATTTCCTTGAAAATGAGCAAAATAACAGTCTGCTCAGTCTGTGTGTTCAGTAACTTACCATTAGACGCTGTGAAGTCAATCGCTACAGTGAAGTTCAGTTGTGTCCTGTTGCACATGGAACATGAAATGCTTCAGTAAACCTGACATAGGTTATATGTCTGACACTCAATACACTAAAAATATACACTACAATTCAATCAGTTTCTTGCTGACTGCTTGGTGGCTAATTAGTATGACATGACAGCAGCCTCACACCACCCTGTGGGTTTAATTGGATCAAACTGATGGAAGCCGTAATTAAAGGAGAACTAAATAATAAAACTGCAATGAGACCTTCCTCAAAACGTAATCAATTCTCTACAAACATGATTCCATATTATGCCCACACTTGAGATTTTGGGGAAATCCCATCAAGTCTCTTCAGTCAAACACATGAACACACATTTACAAACAACAGGGAAAAAAAATCTGTTTGGTGATGTGGTGATTATCATTCCACTCACCCTCCACGGATGAAATCCACAAAGGTATACTCCGACTCCACTTTGAAGGACAGCAGAGTTACCTGGAAAAACAGAAACACACACGCATATCATCAGACACACACAGAGGCGGCGAGTGGATTAATGAACGACGGAAGAGAGGAAGGTAAAGAAACAAAACAGCTGGCCAAACAGCAAAGAGAGTCAATAAGAGGAGCAGGTCCGAGAGGTGAAATTTAATTCCTTAAAAAATACGAACGATGCGGTTCAGAGAAAAGGACAGAGAGTTACAACCGATCAGGGCGCACTTACAGTCCCAGAATTGATGTATTTCTTCTTCTTGCCTTTCTTCTTGGGGTTTAAAACCTGCAGATGAATGGAAAAGTCATTTGGAGATTGAGAAAATTTAACAGACACGCTTTGTACTCCAGCAGGACAGTTAATGAATGAGCATGAATAAGTCAGTATGAAGGCATTTGAAAAATGATGAAGTTGTAGTACATCTTCACTGACACAACTATGGACCAGTGGACGTATTAAACTCACCATACAATTCAAACCCGCTGATGTTTAGGCCTACCTATCAATGTACTGCAGGTTCAGTTAGTCAAATGTTGCTAGGATGGCGCTCGGCCAGCTGGCCAGATAAACAGAGTTAGCTACCTAAATGCACTAAGTGGTCTTTTCAGGCTCTTAGAGGGTTGTAAAATGTTATCTTTTATATAAAAATTACAGCATAAAGATGAAAAAAAGAACAAACAAACAATGCTGAATAGAAAGAAAATAAACAGAAGCATATATTGTTCACCTCGTAGACATTGAACTGATTCTGCCCTCTGGACAGCTCCCTGTAACTTGTGGTGAACTCTCCAATGAAGTCATGGCTGCAGACAGAAAAAATAAAAAATAAAAAACAACATAAAAAATAATTGTCTATTCAAATAGGCAAGCAGGAGACATCATTTTATAATCTAAGAGGGGTTGATGTGTTTTTCTTTCCATCCACATTTCTTTCTGAATTTCGCCAGATGTTTACCACATTTCTTTTCTTAGAATAAATAACTTTTAAATCAGTTTGCTTTTCTCAAAATCTTTGCCAGAAACAAAAACACACACAATAGAAAAAAGGCTTTTACCTTCCATCTCGATCCCAGTCGTACACGTCCACCTTCACAGTCCTAAAAAACAAATTAAACATGAGACTTTTTCTGTACCACACGGCCTCATGTCACTTGAAAAGAACAGCAGGTTCTGGTTTAAGAGGAAGGGGAAAAAAATCTCTCCATCATAGCAGAAGCAGATAGAACAATTACAGTATATATTGAATAAATGATAAATCACACTGAAGAACTGTTGGCGCCGCAGGTACTGGTGATTATCTGAACTCTGGGCCCAAATTAGTCCAGAGAGAGAGAAAACAATTTTGACATGTAGGAGAAAATCATTTGAAGTTAGAATGCATTAGCATAAAAATTATTTCACCTTCATGTTAATTTGCTCAGTTGTGTGATTTGAACATCACATTAGTTGGCTAAAATATTGCATGTTATTCAAAGTCATTAGCATAGACAGCAGAAAATCTGAGCATATTGGGCTCTGACTGCAGCTGGGAGGGACTGACACACGACGACCAGGTCGTAGGTGAGAGCTGTGAGACACAGGCGACGCTCTGTAGTCACTCTATCTGTCATTACACTAATCCCATTTTGAAAAGTAATTACAGACTGGTCTGAGTGGTCTCCAGCAAGTGATGTGATGCATGAAGCAACTTTTAAAAGCATGGCTGGCCTCAACCTTACAGCAGGTAGTCAGCAGGAAAAGTCCAGGAAATACATAACTATTGGCTTTACTGTGAATGAAAACTGTTATGTTATTTAATCTATTTTGATATAATGAAATATAGACAATATTGTTGTAAATTTTGCACAAAACATTAAGATACCTTTGTGAAAAAGATTAAGCTGATGAAGCCAACAAGTAATGGAGCTTAAGCGAAAATTCAACCTTGGAGACTCGATCCAGCTGACATTCGTCTCGCAATCGCCACGTCCTACCTCAACCAATCAGGGCTGGAGCAACTCTCCGCTTCGAGCCTATCATCATCCAGGACCGTCTTCAAAAGGCAAGCTATCAGAGGGTCGACCCGCTCGTCGCTGCACACAACCCACCTCCCTTCCCCTCTTCTCCACCTCCGTCCTGACGGATGTTTCCAGGATCCTTATGCACCCAGCTCCACCACCGGTTTTCGGCCCCGCGGAAGACTGTCCGAGCTCGGCCGAGCTGATGTCCTGCCCGCGGTGATTCGCGACTCACAGTCTTCAGCCGGGGCCGAGCGCCAAAGATTCTGTATCATTAAATCTCTAACTGCTATTCTCTTCTCTGTGTGAGTCTCTCCAGATTGAAATGAGTGTTTGTAGCTTCAAAAGGTTTTCTGTGACGAGCCTGGAAGATGTTCATTGCAGTGAGTTATTTACACTTTCTAGTTTGAGAATCACACAGTCTGAGAAATCTCCATTAAATCTTATAAATTCTTAGTAAACTAAATTTGGAAGGTATTTTAAGACTTAACTTAAACAACATAATTTAGGGGCTGCATGCTTTGAAGGACCCAGACTGTCTTAACCCTATATACTCCATGACAAGTTGTTTTGGAAAAATGTGGCTTTTATTTCTTACATTATGACTTAGCATTTTTGTGTTTCATGATGTAAAGAACTTGAAAATGCCTTGTTGTTGAAATGTGCAATAAAACTAAAATTTGACTTTGATTTTTATTATGAGTAAACAACCCATAGAGGTAATTATTTTCTGAGGCTGAGAAATATGAACAAAACATGGAGCTGCAATAGCATCAATAAACATTATGATGACAAATAAATGTTCATTAAAATCACCCTTCCTTTTTCCATTCGCAGTATAGAGTAGAGTTTTAATCCGTGGCAGATACTGCCAAATATTATATCAAGGCCTCTGAAGTTCCCTTAAAAGTGATTTTAGTTTTCTTGTAAACCAGTAGGGTGCTACTATAAATTAAGCATCCTGGCTGCTTCGCAAAATAAATTGATTTGTTGTAAGATAGTGTTTTAATATTAAAAAAATATCTTCCTTTATCCCCATCATCTCTGTCTATTGTAGCTTGGAAATTGTTAACAACGTATGAATGTTTATTAAAAAGCAAATATGACAAATATGTTGAATAAACAACCTAATAAAGAGCTGTAGTGAAGCGAGGCTGAGTGGGATCTGCCTGCATTCGTCTCTCTCATGAACTGCTGATGGGAGCAGCTCTCAATTTATTCCAGTGTGCTGCGAGAGCCGACTGTCAGACATGAATTCATGTAGTGTTGTTCTATATGATAATGCATGAAAAGCAGCTACATTTTCATCTGTAAACCCCATAAAAGTAGCATTCAGTTGGTCGGATCCTATCATCAAGGCTTTCTTAAACAACAAAGAATTTAATATGGAATGATTAAAGGTGCATCACTTAACTTTACACAAGCATCTGCTGTTCTAAAGGGTTGACAATATGTGGTACTGTAATGGTACTGTAACACTGTGCCCGGTCCGGCCCGATTGGTATGTATGAGACAGCGCTGTGTGAACACTGAGTCAGTCTCAATAACACCAGTGCTGGTCCCTGGGACACCATGACCGACTGCTGGCATTATTCTGACCGCCCCAGTAACAGGTGATGTCATCTATTTTAAAAGTCAACTTGAAACTTGTCCCCATTTAATTGCATTTTTTATGAGACTTGAGTGCTTCTCTCTTAATTTAAAAACGTCAACAAATTTGTGGATCCCGGGATAATAAAGCGGTGAGAAAATTCCCGACCTGTCATAGTCGCCGTTGCAGAGGGCTCGAACGGGGATGGTGAAGGGCTGCCACACCGGATTCAGCGTGTTCTTGATCACCTCCGTCTTGTGGCAGATGGTGAACCTGCCAAAAGAAAATGACATATGAGGCGATAAAAAAAATGTGCAGATAGCTGTGGGCAGATCATTACGACAGTGTTAGAAAATTCTAGATAAGAAATAGAATAATAAATCTCTGCCAAAAAAAAAAAAAAACGCAGACATTTTCTAGAAAAATAAGGAAATTTCAGAGTTTGAAAAGTCTTGGTGAATCTCAAAATATTAGATTTTTTTTCTGGGAAATGTTTGACTTTTCAAACAAAACATGTCCAAAAGTTTAACATTTTTGAAGCTCAGAAATCTCCAAAGTTTTTTCTAGAAATTTTCCAAGATTAGTCTAAAAACGTTTCGAGTTTTTATTGTAGAAATTTAAATAACTTTTCAAACTTAGAATAAATTATTTTTTTAAAGCTAATTTTGGACTATTAAAACCCAGAAATGTCCTTGTTCTTTTGTAGAAAATCTCATAAATTAATAATTTTCTGCTAGAAATATACTCTTTTATTCTTTTCCCATCTGAAGTGGCCCTAATACTCCATCTCCTGTATTTTTCTCTATAATTTGGCAAAAGGGTTCAAGGCAACTGTGAATGTTTCTGCATAAGTACTTTTTTGAAACAGAACAATTGCAGATGAATATTTATTGCTGCAAACATCTCTAAAAGGCACATCTGTGGAAGAAAATAAAAACTGATGGTGAAAACTGCGTTAGAAGACACAGGCGGCCGAATTAATTTATGTTCAAACAGTAAATGTGGTAATTGGTGTCACTGAATGGATGTAAAATCTCCCGGTGCATTCCCAGCACATCTCTGTTATTTTTTAAGCCTGGACTGCGCAGAACCAGTGACTGCTGAGGTTCAGTGCTTCCATCAGCGTTGCCTATTAGTGATGGCGGTACTTTGGGATAATTGCCTGAAAAGGTTTCTCTATGCAGCCTTATCCTGTCATCCCTGGAGTTGAAGCTTAATAATGCGGAACTGAACATGATTGACTGGATGCATTTAGAGATACTCAACATAAAATACTCAATGAGGTTTTTCAACGTTGGACAGCTGTGGCTATACAGCCTGTAAGATTGGTATTAAACACCTCAGTTTATTTCTCAGTAAACATCAATTTACTATTTCTATTGATATGACATTTACACCATTTGTCAGTGTCAATACATGTGAAATAAAGCACACTAACTGATTAGTTTATAAATTAAGACATGCAGTAAAGAGGAATAATATGGGCAACACGTTCTGAAAGGAAACAACGTCAAGTTGCAAACAATGATAAAGAGGCGACTTATGAATCTGGCCAGCAGAAATTTATAAAGAGTTTCCCAAGATGTAACTTTGTATTTTATTTATTTTCGGGGAGTTCAACTCCACATATCAGCTGATGACTTTGCATACATTTGCATGCACTTAGGGCTGAGGTACTTTAAATATTTAGTTTGAAGCAAAATCTTGAGTTTGTTAGCTAAATATTTAGTTCAGAGCTAAGTATTTAGCTTGCTAATGAAATATTTTGGTTTGAGCTAAATATTGTGTATGTTAGCTAAAAATGTCATTTCTTTTGCAAGTTTTAGACAAATTTATATATGTAGTTAATGATTATTTTCTTGTTAGTCCCATTTTTGGGGATATTTTTTGTATTTTAAATAATGCAAATAATTTTAAGGCCACTTACCCAGAATTTCCATTTTGTGGACTAATATATTCTCATTTCTTTGTACATGCACATCACTTTTATTAATAATGATTTTACATGCTGTATGAAGAATTTTCATACACAGAATGGTTTGATCTTATTTATTCTCATGGAATGCAGTGAATAGTGCATCTGGAAAATATTCACTGTGCTTCATTTTGTCACATTTTGTTATGTTACAGCTTTATTCTAAATTTTATTAAGTTTATTTCTTTCCTCAAAATTCTGCATAAATACCCCAGTTTGACAATGTGGAAAAAGTTTTGCGATTTTTGCAAAATAGTTATGAATTAGAAAAGACCAAGAAATTAAATTTACATAAGTGTTCACAACATTTGCTTTATAATGTGTTGATCCACCCTTAGCAGGAATCACTGCTGCTCTTACAAGCCTGTTCCTTGCAAACTGAGTCACTGAATTACTTTTGGTTGGTCAACATTCATAAAAGTTTGTGTCCATTCTGAACCATCCCGTCCTGGCTAGTTAACTTGGAACATAACTCTTTCTGTCAGTAGCAGCGTTCCATTGACCATTTAATTGCGCAATTTGGCATTGTGAAAATAAATGTGCTTAATGGAAACTCAACAGCTTCAGAAGAAACATGTTTTTCAATAAAAGAATAGTGGTACAATTTTGGGCGCACATTTGTAATGGAATGACAACTATAATGATTATTCAATTCCATTTTTCAAACTGTAAACGTAAAAGAGGCCCGTCCAGCCACCCTGACGAGTCATACTCACGTTCCATCCTCATTACTGCGGTAAAACACCAGGAAAGGGTCAGACTTTCCGAAAAAGTCTTTCTTATCCAGCTTGTTGGCACACAACTGCATCGTAGCGATATCCTGACGGAGAAGACAAGTGGGTTTTCAACATAATGGTTCTGATGCAAGTTCTGTTCGAACGGGGCAACCTCGTTTCCAAAGGGAGACATTTTTTTTGTCTACTAGTGCAGAAACTTGGTGCAAGACTTTGGCAGAATAGGTTTGGAAATGATTGGCAGAAAAAAAAAAAAAGTAATCCATGTTGATTTAAATATGAACCAAAACATTAAGAAGGATCTCTATGAATAGTTAAGTAATTTTTGCATAAGAATTACACAATTTAGTAGGGAGGGAAATAAATCTTATTAGGCCATGTCTGCAATATAGTGAAGGAGGCAGAGAGGGATCGCCTCATACATATGCATGAGTGGCTATGGCTGTTAATGAGGAGCTGTGTTTTTCCTGCTTCTATGCAGAGATGCCTGGGACAACCGAGGCAGGCAGGAAGGAAGGAATTAAAGATAGACAGATAAATAATTAGACCTTTTAGTTGATTTCTCCTGAGGGAGAGCATCTTGGGAAAACCCTAAGCTTGCCACTGACAGCAATTGGATCTTGTTAGGGAGCAAAAATCTCCCGGAGTAGCAAAGGTAAACACAACTAAGATAAGCCAGTTTATATAATGATCTCATGAGCACACACATGTGCACGCGGAAATTCTCCCAAGCATCTGATCGGCTGGTTGTGGAGTTAATACATAAGTGTGTCGGGGGGCGTTCGGGGGCACCGTGAAATTGGAGGGGAATTTTGCTTCGCGGCAGAAAACCGTCTTGACAGTTTATCTGAAACCTGTTTAGAGGAATGTGGAGCACTCTTGCTAATGGAATGTGATTTGTTTAACCTTTGATGGGGTAGGAGGAAGTGGTGTGTGTACACACATTTTTGGGGCCATGGAGGAAGGTCCTCCAGTGGGGAAAAAAGGGCAGCTTGTGAAAATGCAGAATTGTTAGTGTGAGATTCATATAAAGCTACAAACCTGTGGGGCACTGTTACAGTGGGCTTTTAAATCCAGAAAATGCTACATTGAGCCCCTCACAATACACACTTTCCCTGGAAAAAAAAAAAAAAAGAAAGAAAGAAAACAAGAAAAAGATTTCAGAAGGGCACTCTTTTTTTGTGTCTGGAGAAAAAAAATGGCATTGGCCATTCCTAGAGTCTGTCTGTGTACAACCCTGATATAAACTCTGGGGAGTTCTGTAATACAATTTTCTAGCCATGTTTGTATGGACTAGGATTTGTTGCTGCGTGTGTACACAGACAAAGGCAAACTGCTACAGCAACTTCATAAATATTGCAATGAAAATTTCGAATATTCAGTCTGGATTTGGGTATGTTGATGAATGCATGTGCGCGCATGTGTGTGTACTGACCCTGCAGTTACTGAGCTCCTCCGCTGCCAAGATTATGACTCCACACTTCTTCCCTGGTATCCCACTGAGATCATAAAGAGAAGGAGACAGAGAGATGCAGTAACTGTATCGAGGCGTGAATAATAAGAATGGAAAGCAGATGTCATTCATAGCTAAAAGCTGTTATTGTGCCAGCAGACAGCCCGGCATGCAGTTACTTGTTTCCCAGAAAAAATTCACAGAGGGACTCACACTTACTGTCTAATGGGCGAGCTAATTCTAAAAATGGACTACAAGTGAAAATGAGACGGCAAACCCAACGCCATGCAGCACAAAAATACATATTTGAAACCAAAAATATACACACTTTGTTAAGATCGTTTTTGTCACTGACATTAAATTTGGGCATTTTTTTGGGTTAGGAAAATAATTTATCTTTGTCAATACAAAAAAAAAATGACGAAATAATTTAAGATGTCTTTTATTACTGTCTATACATGCAAAATTGCTTCCTAACTGCATGAACTGGGATAAATACTTTTGGTATCCCCACAATGGCTTATTGGAATATTAGCCCATTCAAATACCCTGAGAATTTTTTGGATGTGGATTTTCCTACATTTTTATATTAAAAGAAATCAGGGCTGGGAATTCAGAAGTTTCATTTTGAATAAATGATTACATAGATTTTATCGGGTTAAAATTTTTAAACACAAATAATTGTACTTATACACGCCAAAGCAAAGATTCCGGCTGAAGCTTTCATTTTGCTGAGTTTCTGGTACAACAAAAAACTTGTGTTCAAGTTGTGCTAAAAAACGTTAGCCTAAAAAATTATTTCAATGCTAAACATGTAGCAGCAGAACATTAGCACGCTAACATCCACGGTCCACAATTCTAAAAAAGTTTCATGAATGATCATGAATGCTTATTGGACAGAATAGCATTGTAATACATTTGAAAGAGGAATAACATTAAAAACAAATATTTTTGTTGTTTATGACAAAGAGATTTAATAAAGTGAATTATTCTTATTAAAAATGTAATCGAGTTGCACCACCATAAAAACACAAAGAATATCTACACTGTGGGCCCCCACTCACCAGGGGATTTCGGTGTCATAAAATGGCAAATACAAGAAATATTTTAGAAATTCAACTAGATTAAATTTTCTGTTGAGCCTCATCAGGACATTAATCCCAAACATGTGCTTCTGATTAAATAAAGCAACATCATGGCAGGAAAATAGGTTATCTGATGAATAAGTGTAAATGTGATATTTCAAAAAATGCAAATAAGTAATCTTTGCATAAGTGCAGCATATTCATGGCGGTGGACGGTATTTTGCATTTGTTTCCTGAGCAGAATGAGTCATGAAAAACTAGAAATGTGTTCGCTCAGGTGTGTGCAAACATGCATGCGTTCTTTGCATAACAAAGTATATGTTTAGTTTCTAGCAAGTGTTCAAAGATTGCGATTGTTTCTTTGCCTTTTTTTGTGTGTGTGTTTCTGTTTTGGTCTTATTTAAAATGACACTGAATGTGAAGCTTCGAGATCAAAAGGAATGCAGTGAATGTACAAGGGGAGTGATCTGTCAAAGAGCACTGCACAAAAACACAACACCATCTACGAAAACAGAAACGGCGCACGCCTTAAGAATGAACGGGAGGCGCAGCAGCAGCCGGAGAGCCAGGGAGGCGAAATGAGAGGATAATTTCAAAGACACCAGGGCACAAAGGGGCCAAGCCTGAGTGCTGCTTCATTACCTTTTTTTTTTTAAAGAGTTGGAGAAGGAGAGATAAATGCAGGTTGAATGAAGACAGAAAAAGGGGGGAAAAAAAAGGGAGAAAAAGATAACCCTATGAGATATTTTCAACTCTGACTTGCCTTCACAGCAATTTGTGCTGGGTGACTGTTTCAGGCTCTCGCCAAAATGAGCAAGTTGTCTGTCGGCCAGCCGCTGTAAGGAAGCACAGCTGGTCCGAAAGACAATGTCTGATTAAAACGTTCCACTTTGAGGAGAAAATTAAAGGGCTTTTGCAACCACTTCATAGGCTATCCTTCATTTTTATTATGTTAACTTGAAATCCAAAGATCTAGCAAACCACAGAGAGAAACTGGACCTGATCCATTCATCTCATGTTGGGAGCCATCATCGGAGGCTATCATAACAAGCTTTAACATTTATGACAGGCTAACCTGACAGGTAGAAGCTGTGGCCTACAGAGGGTTTTTGTTACACATGAACACGAACTTGATTAACAGCGCTAAGACCCTCCTCCTGACTGTGATTGGTTGTTTTGGACAGTTTTGGGGTATTTTTTGCAATTAGCACTGGGAAAATTCAGAGGAATTGTGTTTGTTTTTTCACAGATTATCTGTCTCATACCAAACCATCAGAACATAGTGAAAGTTTTAACAAATTTAAAAAAAACATTTTTGTTCATAAATGTTCCATATCTTTTATGAAAACAAGCCAATTTCGGTGCAGCTTTTTTTGCGAAAAGGTTTTGGCCTTAGGATGGGGTGGTTTTTCAGCTGTATCATAATTGGTGTATTTTTGTAAAACTGTAATAGAAACACTTAGCTCATCATGGCAGTTTACATAGCAAAGTGGTTATTTGTAGACACGAGCCTCCGTGGAGAACACACAGCTGGCTCTACCAGAGGACTCACAGCATCAAAAGTCGACTTTGTTTTTGGAAAGAGTTGAATCCACCGGTATTTTATAAAATCAACGATTATAAAAATATATAGACTGATCGCGGGCCTTTTGACCCCTGCAGACCCTATGTGTACATGGAGTCCTATGGCTCGCAGTGCAACTATTGACTGGTTTACATCATTAGATGTACTTCAGATTGCTTTTCAATGAGTAATGACTTCCTTCAGGATAACAGTTTATCTTGAGAAAAACAGGTTTGATCTCGAAACAAGAGACTATTTATGTTACAAAAATGAGAGGTTTCTGAGAGTAGATCCAATTTCAATGTTTGGCATCACTCTGAGAAATAAGGATGATGTACAGTGGTGATCAATGTCTTTCAATGATGGATGCTTGTTGATTTTTAGCTTGAAATAGTTTTCTGCATCACTGGTACACTGACATCAGTGTAACAAGATATATTTTCTTACAAAAACAAGTTTCTTGACTTAGAAATACTGACCGGTATCAAAAATATATATAACTTCTGTTTATGTATATATCAATGAAACACCTTTTAAAATTGAATCTTATTTCTGGTTATATTCTGAATTTTTGTGTGCTTTTTGGACTAGTGTCTAGCTAGTACATTTTAGCTAATGTACTAGCTAAAATTATTGATGCTAACTCCATTTGCTCTAGTTATAGTTATGCAATTCATAAAGTATATTAAAGAGATGTGTCTGACCAACCTGCTCAATATTTTTGAGTATAAAATATTAAGTGGAAGTTAATTTTAATTTTTACTGTAGGCTCAAAATGCATTGTTGTTTCTTTCAGAAAATCTCAATTTCTGCTGTAATTTCTCAGATAGATTAATTATGGCAGGTAAAATAAAATTTGAAGACATCACAATTTTTTTCATAGTCAACATATTTCTAAAGAGATTATTGGCATGGCATTTTCAGCAGGTGTTGGTAACAGATGAGTAATCTGTACATTGAAAGAAAGGAAAACAAGTTCCGAAATTAAGTGATGTGTAATGATGTTAAGATATTAAGATTAAAAGCTGATCTCATTTCAAAGAAGGAATTAACATTTTTCATAAAAATAGGAATTTCCTGTCACAGTTTGTCACAAAAACATGAGAGATTTCCTCTAGGAATAGTTTGAGTATTTCAGGAGAAACTTTGAATTTTTCATAAATGTTCAAAGGCATTTCTTTTCCCACCACATTTTGATTTAACATACAAAGCAACTGCACAATCACACCAACATCAAAAGATAACAGATCAACTTGACTGTTTTTTATTATTGAGAATCAAGATTACATGATGATAGGAGATGAAAGCCCATGCAGAGGAGAACTGACTTAAGGTTACAGAGGAAGAGGGAGAGTGTTGTGTTAGCTATTCACGCATCGCCTCCTAAATCCTTAGCCTTGCATGACGCACTTTTCAAATCGATGGATTCTCTCACTCACGCTGACTCCCAGCTGTACCAGGCAGCAACAGTGAGAGAATTATTTATGAATTTACCTGCTCAGTGTTTCCAGCTGCACACCCGCAAGCCAGCCCACCGGATACACACACACACACGCACATGCACACACACCCTGCCTGGACTCTGGAGTATCCATCTGAGCCCTCATGGCTTCATAAGTGCAGAATAATAATGACATAGCTGTTCTCCTGCTTGACCTTGGCCTGTTTCTCTCATATTGACAAGTTTATGATATATTTGGTTTGATGAGGGAAAAACAATATAACACAATGTAAAGCTTAAAAAAGTTGATTTTACATAACTATGTTTTAGAAGAAGATGAAAATGTTTTTTCACATAAATAAGGTTAATATGAGATATTCCATATGCTGTAAACAACAAGAGGAAACAAATCAAAGCTGACATTGGATGCTAATAGTGTAATCAAGAATACATTAGATGTTTAATAAAAGACTAGCTAACATGATGGATTCCTTTGCAGTGCCATTACAAGTATTTTGATATCACTGATATCACTAACTCATATGGTACTGTTTGGATTCGTAGCATCACCCCAGAATAGTCACAATAGATTTTTGTCCAACAGTATTTTACTCAGACATTCCACCTTGGCTTTTAACCAATGTGTAGGTTTATCATTTTATAAATGATTCAATAAAAAACAAACATATTCCAGAGCGGTTAATTAACAATTTTCTAACATAGTTACACACTCATTAAATACAAATGCAATAACTTGTCAATAACACAAATGATATTGGTTTTACTTATAAATAATAAAAGTGATGTGTTTACCAATAATTAATGTTCCTTTTCCTGATATTATAACTGACAATGACTTCAGGGAACATTCTGCGGCTCCATGAACCACTGTACAGTCCAGCATTTTGGACTTTTGTCCACTACATCCCAATGCCTTTGCATTAGCTTACAACGTC